CCTGCCGAGAAAACGAAGAAGCTTTCAGCCGAGTTGGCCAATGGCAGGCTTGCGATGATGGCTATCATCGGAATGTTCTTCCAGGACCCCAACTACCCGTTTTCACGGTGTTCAAATCCGAATTGCAATGTTCTTTTCTATCAGTTGACAGTTTGTCAATGTTTTAAACACTCTGTTGATTGTGTTTGTGTTGATGTTTATTGTATTGAAATGTTTTAACGAGTTCCAGTGTACATGATGTGCACATAATTTTTGAGTTGTATTGTTAGAACAGATAGTGCTTGACTTATGCAGGATGGCTTGACCGGAAGCGCCTGGGGTGACTGGGCCAACTACACCGCTTCTCCGTTGCGGTGAGAGGTAGACATGGAGGACATTGCGGACAGGAAGAAACATGATGAAAATGAAGGGGCGCTTGCTTTGGCTGCGGTTATAGCATAGTTGCTGCAGTTGGATCTAACAGCTGGATCGATAGAAAAAAAACAGGGGAGGCTGTCTCTCTAAGAAAAATCAGACTTCTCTAATTAAACAAATTCATAAGGTGTAGAAAATTAGGAGCCTTTGGCAAAGGCTGGGAGGGGGGTCGACCAAAGCTTTTTTGGTCGACCGACCCCTCCAGATTAGGAGCCTTTGGCAAAGGCTGGGAGGGTGGGTCGACCAATGTTTCTTTATTTTTTTGCTGTTGACCCCTCCCAAGAAAGAATCTCCAGCAAATGCAATGCAGAAGAGTTAGATATGTTTTTTTCAGTTTTTCAGTCGACCCTCCTCCCAAGAAAGAAGAGTTGGAGCCTTCAGCCAAGTCTAGTAGAGCAGAGTGAAAAAGATGTGTTTCACTTTTGAAACTAAATTTCACAATTTTAATGTATAGAACCTACCTTAATTTGAAGCATGCTGGTATTACAGTATATTGTGTTAAGATTGATGCTTTCACCATCAGGGCTGAAGATGAACAGAACCCAAGGGAGTGGCCTTAAATACTAATAAGATTGGAGGCTGGAGAGTGAGCCATACCAATAACCAAGATTGTTGGTATAAGTTTTTGCAATTGAGTGTTTATTGGAAGGCCAAATAGTTTGTTGAGCAATATTTGTTGCCACCCGTGATACCAGACAACTAAAACCAGTTCATGAGCTGACAAATACATATTATGAAACAATATGCTGATGCAATGATTGACAATATGTTTGCGCACTAAAAACATACTGAAAGTATACTGAAAGCAACTATATACTTGTAAATACCCAAAACTAAACTATTTGAGACATACTTTAGATATACTAATGATGTTGTATGTCAATATACAACATAGCATATTTGAATAAGACCTGTAAACAATCATATAATATGTATGGGTTCCAACAAAACACTGAAAACCACGTATTTTGGGGGGCCTGGTGGCGTCCCACTGGTCTCCTGGCATACGAGACGCAGGGCTGCAGGGCGGATGGACGTGGGAGCAAGGCGGCGTCGGCCAGAATTCCCTCCGACCAAAAAAGGCTCAAGCCCTTTTAAACCTGGCTGTGTGAGCAAAAGCTCCATT